ACAACAACAACAGCAACAACAACAGCAACAACAACAACAGCAACAGCAACAGCAACAACAACTACAACAACAACAACACCAACCACAACCACAACAACACCAACACCAACACCAACCACAACAACTACTACTACTACAACTAGAACTACAACAACTACAACAACAACAGCAACAACAACAGCAACAACAACAACAGCAACAGCAACAACAACAACAACAACTACTACTACTACTACAACTACAACTACAACTACAACTACAACACTACACAACAACTACAACCAAACAACAACTACAGCTACAACTACAACAACAACAACTACTACAACTACAACAACTACAACTACAACTACAAAGCAACTACAGCTACAACTATATGACTGCAACTACACTACACTAATTACATTACACCACAGCTACAACTCCACTACGCTACAACTACAACTACAGTTGCAGTACATCACACTACATCCAGCAGTTGTGGGTGAGGTGACCACTGCAACCATTGCAACCATTCCAGCAAACCCAACTCCAACCACCTTTCGGTCAATCAGTGGATTCGCTCTGCCATCCGTGATTCACAACAACCAACGTCTCCTATAGGTTTCCTATTCTGAAACTTCCGCCACCGCCTTGTGCGGTACTACTGGTATATATATATATGGTAATATGGTAACACAAGGGTCTTTCAGTGAGGTGTCGCAATGCGTCACAGCACTAAGGCCCCCACGCAAAGACCGCTACCAGCTGATCATCACCCAAACCGCAAGAGCAAAGGTCAAGAACCTCAGGCTCTGCCCAAGCGTCAAGCAAGAGACATGGCTTGAACTATTCCAGTTCGTCCAGGTGCTGCAATGCTTGAAAATCAGATAGACCTCAACCAGCTGAATTTTTGCTACTTCTCAGATTTCTCCGGCTATACTAGTCGGTAAGAATGACCCGTAGCATGGGATGCTCCACCACAGCTCACCATGGCACGTTGCGACTGTGCAAAGGCGGAACCCGGAAGGGTGGAAACATGGTGTTCACCAGGTGAAACATGGTGAAACCAAGTGGCTGGTCCTGAGACCGCGTCTTTGACTTTGGTCATGAACTTCGGCAAAAGACGATTTTCGAAACAAACCTTTTCGTAGGCCGTCAGTTCTCCTTGGCCAACTCGCTATGAACACCAACACACACTCGCTTCAACTCAAAGGCTGAGTTCAGCAGGGAAAGAATCTCTGCTGAGAAGCGAACACACCGTGTAATCATTAATCCGTGTATGGTTAATGCATTTGTCAATGCATTGTCAATGCATTGCATTGGGCATCGACTTCACTGACAAGACTTGACACGGCAAGGCACGTTGTGGCGCCTGGAATGCTGCTGTGCCTTGTCTTGGCAAAGCCCTGGCATGGCATCACATGATGGCAGCAACAGCACATGACACATGTGACCACCGTGACGAAGGAGGGTTCAGGAGGGTTAGGGGATCACTTAGAGCACGAAAAAGTGGATCGCTTAGAGCACCAGAGAATGAGACCTTTGGGGTTTACCTTGGGGACAAGGGGCGGGCTTAGGGGACAAGTCGGGACACGGGGCTGGGACATGGGGTGGGTTTAGGGGACAAGCATGGTGGATCAGAACCAGAGAATCAAACCTTCAGGGCTTAATTTGGGACACGGCTTTGGTTACTCGGAGGGACTACTGGTTGATTTCGGGCCGGAAGGCGGATCGCCTGGAATGTGCACCTGCGTGAGTCTATCAATGTCACTACGTGCGTGCTTCAGTGCTTCAGCGTGCAGACACATATGAATGTGTCCATTGATGTGTGTATGTCTCTGTGTCTTTATGTAGCTATAGCACGGGTTTCCCTTATGTGTCTGTGAGTGTCACTTTTTGGCGTTCCAAGCGATCCACTTTCCGGCGCTTGAAGCGATCCACTTTCCGGTGCTCCAAGCGAACCCCCGACCGTTCAGGGTTCAGGAGGGGCAAAAAGCCAAGTGAGACTCTGAGCTTCATCGATATTAACCGATGCAAACTTCATTACTATGAATGTTTAACAAATTGTTCAAAGCATCTTCAGGCACTCGGCACTGCGTTTCTCGAAGTTTCCGCTCAGAAAACCCTAAGCCCTTCAATAATTGAAGCCCTTCAACAATTGAAGCCCTTCAATAGTTAAAGCCCGTCAATACTTGAAGCCCTTCAATAATTGAAGCCCTTCAATACTTGAAACCATTAACAATTGAAGCCCTTCAATAATTGAAGCCCTTCAATAGTTGAAGCCCTTCAATACTTGAAGCCCTTCAATACTTGAAGCCCTTCAATACTTGAAGCCCTTCAATACTTGAAGCCCTTCAATACTTGAAGCCATTCAATACTTGAAGCCCTTCAATACTTGAAACCATTCAATACTTGAAGCCATTCAGCACTTGAAGCCCTTCAATACTTGAAGCCCTTCAATAATTGAAGCCCTTCAATACTTGAAGCCCTTCAATAATTGAAGCCATTCAATACTTGAAAACACTCAATACTTAAAGCACTTCAATAATTGAAGCCCTTCAATACTTGAAGCCCTTCAATACTTGAAGCCCTTCAATACTTGAAGCCCTTCAATACTTGAAGCCCTTCAATACTTGAAACCCTTCAACAATTGAAGCCCTTCAGTAATTCGAAGCCCTTCAGTAATTTGAAGCCCTTCAGTAATTTGAAGCCCTTCAGTAATTGAAGCCCTTCAGTAATTGAAGCCCTTCAGTAATTGAAGCCCTTCAGTAATTGAAGCCCTTCAGTAATTGAAGCCCTTCAGTAATTGAAGCCCTTCAATACTTGAAGCTGCCCTGGTTCTGTGTGCCTCCCGTCTTGCTCTTTCACTTCCAGCTCTCCTTGTGAAAGGGAAATGCTCACCTGCAACTTGTCAGAGACAGGGTCACGATTCCGAATCCTGATGGATCGTTGGAGATGGCGTGAGAATGTTCAAAGGCGTCCACAGTCCGGAAGATTCAATACATGACTATGATGAACAAGAATGAACAAGAATGAACAAGAATGAACAAGAATGAACAAGAACATTCGATGATTTCTTGATACTTTGAATATTTTCGATATAAGTTTGACTCTTCAGTATGTAAGCTCAAAGATTTAAACGGAAACTGGTTCAATTGCGTTAATCTTCAGAGGCCTGCTTTCTCTGTCGGAGGGCTCTATCCTCACACCGAAACCAATGTGATTTCTGTCCGGTTTGAGATCCCAGCAGGCACAATTGAGACATGGTGACATGGGGGCATGTTGAGACGCATGCGGGACATGTTCGCGCTCAGTGCGTCCTCCACTGCTCTTGCTGCCGCCACCCTCCAATCACGTGATAGCGGCTTCTTGTCTTTGATCCACTGCGGTTCCAGACCTAGTCTCTCTGTGAGCAAGGACAAGAAATGCACATGGACAACTCAAGACTTTGGAGAACAGACGTAAAACGCAGCTTGTGCAAGTTTCTTAGGTAGTTTTTGAACTGAAGCATATGGTGTATGGGTGTACTGGAGTTCAAGTAGTCTTCAAACAGTGAACAGTTTGAAAGCTTTGAAAGTTCAAAAACAAAATGAATTCAAATGACACAAAGATATACACAACATGGAATTCGTGCATCAATGGCACTTGCGCCGGACATCTGTCTCTGCAGGTCACCTTGGCGGCAAACTATGGAGCCACAGTGCACATATCCATCCTGGACACCATCTATGTTCAATTCGTTCAATTTGTTCGACTATTCTGCACTTGCAATTGCAACAGATCCCGGGAAAAGCTACTCAGTTGGTCGCAATGGTGTCATGTGTCATCATAGTCTGGTCACCGCTCTCGTCGCTCTACCTGGCTATATGCTGCTTCAATGCGGACAGAGTCGCTTCTCGATTCAGAGCGGCTTCTCTTCGCCGTCTGAATAGGCGCCTTGCCATTCACATTCCCAGGCACGGAGTTTGGGAGATTGCGACTGTCCTGCCACGAGTATTTTGCAAACATCCAAGGTTCAGGGATTGAACTGAAAGCTGCTCGCAAGCCAAGATGGCTGGCTCTAAAACAAGCCACTGTGAAAGGTCAGCAGTTGAGACCAGATTCGAGTAAGACTGCATCACCGGGTCCAAGGATTTTTTTTAAAACCAGATATTCTTCAAAGCACCTCCTGTCGCATGTATCCTTTGTTTCAAGTGCTGATTCCTCCAAATAGTCCTTTCACATCCCTTCGGGCACCGCCTTTATAAGCTGAGGCTGCTGGTTGCGATTGTTGGTTTGACAGTTATGGACAGGAAGGGTGCTGTCCAATGCGCTATTCTCCAAGGGTAATGCCAACTACCTAGCCCACTATTCCAAACCCCAGATAGGAATGAGACTAGGCTGTAAATACTGCAGCAATGCCCATCACAGCTAACTCCAGTCCCAAGAAATAAAGACAACACAAGTGTCTGATTCAACGCCTCAAAATCGCAGTGCCATGCTGCCATGCTCAATCTGAAACACACTTTGCATCTGAACCCCGGACAAAAGCACCTTTGATTTCAAGGATGCAATCTCAGTCCAAGTCATAAAGTTGACAGAGACGAAAGGGGCCAAGATGGGCCAAGATGGGCCAAGTGGACAAGTAGTAAAGTCAAACCACATAAACATTGTAAACATCGTAAACTTGTCACTGGCGCACTGCTCATCAGTCAGACAGTCCTGTATCTCTATAGAGCACTCTTCATAGACTTTCTCACGATGCAAGGACACAGTTGACACAGTGGACGCACCTGAGCAAGATGACTGCCATCTGATGCATCCGAAATCTAATAATTTGTTATGATTCACACGTTGATTCTACCTGACCCAAAGAAACTCATGACTCATAATCAACGTCATCACTCCCTTTTCGAGTGTGCCTTTCTGACGTCGAAGAGTGGGCAATTCTGCACTGGCACTGCTGTGCAAGGCAAGACCTAGCACCAGCTTTCTGGGAGGTTCATCATCATTCATCCGACATTTCTTACTGCTACATTTATTCAGTGGCTGCGAAGTGGTGCTGCCTTGGTGCGACTCGAATCCAAAGAATCAAAAGAATCAAAAGAATCTTAAATAAACGAGCAACAGCTGTCACTTTTGTCAATGCTAACGTTGAATCCACCGAGTCGTGTTCCGACCTTTGTCCAAAGGCTCCAAGGTCGCAGTCGATGCAGTGGACTTCCGCGTGCGCTTTACCTCGACATGTCCTGATATTCACCCCGCTTCGCGTGGGGTGGCCGCCCACACCGCAGGTTTATTTCGGTCCGTGAGAGGGGCTAAGGGTGGTTTTCCCCCGTGGGGGCTCTTCAAGCTAAGAAGTTTCAATAAGAAATCCTTCCAAAACATTGTTTTTGACAGTGTTTCAATGTTTCCAGTCAAACAGACGGTAATTTACACGTTTTTTGCCATAAAGGCAGTAAATCCTTCCAAAACATAGCTTTTGACAGTGTTTTTGTAATGCTTCCAGTCAAGCATACGGTAATTTTTTGCCATAAAGGCAGTAAATCCTTCCAAAACATTGCTTTTGACAGTGTTTTTGTAATGCTTCCAGTCAAGCATACGGTAATTTACACGTTTTTTGCTATAACGTCAGTCCAAAACACTTGTTTTTGCAGTGTTTTCAATGCTCTGGCATCCAAAAACACTGCAAAATCTTGCTATGTACCATGTTTTTTTCATTTTTGGCCGTTTTTCCATTGCCGGAAAGCTACCAAAATGACCCAAAATTCCATTTCAATACCCTCTTGCGCTCAGACACCCAAAAATCCTCAAAAAATGTCGAAAACACCACCGTATTCTGGTCTCGGTGCGAAACCGTTTTTGGGGTCTGGTCTCGGTGCGAAACCGTTTTTGGCCCCCCCCCCCCCAGCTAAAGCTGATATAGCGACTGCTATATTAACAAATGTCATTGAGCATTTAGTGTTGCTGTTGCCCCCCAATAAGCACGCCTTCACCGCCAAAGCGGTGTGGGCGGATTTTACCCAGAAATTGAGCAATTAAAAAGTACTGACATTATGTTGAATTATGTTGAGTCCTCCAAGTGCCAGAAGGATCAAGAGGCAAACGCGACAAACTTGAAAGTGTTCAGCACATCTTTGATTCTTAAAAAAATGCAGTTTCATGCATTTTACAGTCATTGACTCATATTGACTCATTGATATTAAGTTTTAAGATACGTTAAACTCCCTCCATCTCCGTCCTCGCGGCCCTAGTCGTGGTGCTGGACCCGGGCTTGCCATGGCCCACGCGCGAAAACTTCATGCCATTGCAGCGCTTCAGCACTGAGCTCGGGAGCAGTGCGAAAACAACATATTTAGACATATTTGCTGTACATTTGGAACATATTGTCTCTTTGGAATCTCAAAATCATCTTCAAATGGCTTTTTCCTAACATGCTCTTTGTCTTCCGTTCCTTCCTTTTGGTCATGTGACGGTGAGACACCTGCAGAGCCAAGCCATTCGCGCAAATGTTCCGCACATGTCATAAATAGATCTCCACCTCCGTCAGTGCCGAAAGGACATCTTGACTAAAACACTCTTTCTCATGAGTTGAACAGCTCAAATGAAACAACGTCCTCATTGTCCGAACGCAGCGAATGTCCAACATGACAAAGCCCCGTTGGCGAAGCACCCTTGTCAACTGTAACCATATCAACGAAGAAAACGTGTCATGAACCATGTTTTACTATGTTCTACTGTGGCTGCTAGCTCTGCTTTTCCTTTCACCTTTTCCCAGAGGTCGCATTTCCTTCTGAATGGATCTGATGAAGAATGCATTCACAATGCTTCCTACGTGAACTCCACTTTACTCTTCTATGCGTTCTATGGCTTGAATCCCGGCCTGAAAGACCTTCGGCTCGTGGCTTGACAGCCTGCCACAAAAATGTGGTGCACTGAGCCCTGTGTGCCGCGCTACTTCGTTTGATTTTGAGAACATTAGCCAGTGGACGCTGTTCATGTTCAAACAACACTGTCATACACTTGCATCCTCAGTTTCGTCCCGCTGCTTTACCTACATTCTCGAGTCGCTTTTTTCTCAAGAGCTGGCAAACCCTCTGGGACTTGTGAAACGGACAGTCTGCCAACGTCACCATTAGCTGTTCACATGGAGACGGACATGAGGCCATGTCAACAGAACCACATCTTTGGATATCTTGCTATATGGTCATTTTGTAGGAGAGAGGCTCTGAAAGGCTTGTGTGTTGATGCTTTTCCTGAAATGTCAACTTAATGTAAGGTGCTCGAGAAGCTGGAAGATCTTGCCACGTCTGGCTTTGAGTCGAGCTTACCAGCTGTGCTATGATGCTATGCAATTACCCTCTGGTAATTTAACATAGCTATGGAAAATCACCATTCTTAATGGGTAAATCCACTATAAATGGCAATTTTCAATAGCTATGTTAGTTTACCAGAGGGTAACCTGTTTGTTGAAGGTACACATAGGCCGATACTGGATTGATCCTTGTGGCTTACTGTGGCTTCGATTTCGTCTCTAGTTCTAAGTCACCGCATCCCGATGTGCGAAGGACCTGAGAGATCAGCCAGGTCAGAGAATTCACGGGGAATCACAGTCTGCAGCACTTAGATTCGATGATTTTTTATGATTTTCATTGATTTTCTGCTTCTTGAAAATCAGTGTCAAGGTGTGGCTGATTCCCAAATTCAGGCAACCACCTTTAAAGCGACTACAAAACGGGCCCAAACTTACGGGCATTCGACAAAACAAATATCATGTGTCGCACAGAATACAGTATACATATGTATACATAATATCTCGTACGTATCATACACGTCCCATACAGGTCCATGTCCCATAAAATCCAAGATGCACTGCGTCACAAGAAATCACATATTGACTTCTCAGCCTCAAGGCACGACGGAAGCAAAGAAACAGCAATCCTTTTTGCGTCAAAAAAACGATTTTCATTTTTCTTCGCTTGCACTGCGTAGATTATTTTACTGTTCTTTTGGTCAGCCTTCTTGGCCCAATCTTTTACTGTTCGTTTACATTGCTGGTCTCCTGGTCGTTTTGCTGTTGACCCAGCCTGCCGGTCTCCTGGTCTTCGTTCTTCTGAAGATGGATGCCTCAAACTCAGCAGGGCAATTGATATCCATCGACAAGATGCAACACAGCATTCTTCAATTCTTTGCTGTGCATATGATATGCATCATATCTATCATGTCTTTGAATGCTTTGGCAGTTAGACAGCCTTCTGTGCAAACAAGCGTCACTTTATCAATTTGCTTTGTAACCACAAAGAATTGTGGTGCGTTCCACTCATCCAACATCTGAAGCTTGAAGCCGGAGAGTTTGCTGGCGAGGCCTGCAAGAAAAGATTCAATGCGATGAGTAGAACGAAGTGTGTGCGGCTGTTGAATCAAGTCCTTTTGAAGCCAGAGCATTTGGGGCACCTACACTTTGCTTTTCCAAATGCCACTTCACGCTGTGGTGTGCCGGCTGCGCTGATTGCGCCGCGATCGAAAAAGATTTGGAAGCTGACGAAGCTAGCGAAGCTGACATCGAGTCGGAGAGAGACGAAGAGAGACCGGCAGACCTTTCTAGACTCTCCATTGGACTCTCCATTGGACTCTTCCAGACGGAAGTGCCTCCTCCAGCCGCTGGCGCTGCCGCTGGCGCTGCCTGCGCTGAGAGAGTCAAGTGAAGTCAAGTGAAGTACATTGAAGTACTAAGCAGTACGAAGTAGTACTAAGTAGAGAGACCATCGGAGAGACTTCGATCAACAGGAAACACTTTGGATGCCATTCTCTCCTTGGATATGTTTGGATTTGTTCGAGGCCAAACAAACACGTTATTCTCCCAAATCAAGTCCCTGTCCTCCTTGTTCATCTGGTTCGCCTTGATGAAAAGAAAGCCTTTAAGACTTGGCACTATCATGGATTCAAAGACAATCAGTTCACAGTCGCATCTTGACACTTGACTTGGCAGACTTGGCAGACTTGGCAAACTGAAAACATCGAGAGATGAAAATTGAAGAAAGATGAAGAAAGGTTGTTTAATTTAAAGACATGCTGAATTGATCTGAATTGATCTAAATTCATGTGCAGACGTTGTGCACAGCGTGTACAGTGCACCATCCACCGAGTCACAGCAACCTTCCCGGCGGCCGCTCCAGCAGCACCACCCAAGAGTCCTTGAGGACACATGGATACCATTGGGATACCATTGGATACCACAAGCACCCATCATGCCCAATGTATCCCAATGTATCCAATATCCAATGTTCAATCGCAATAACATTTCACCGTTTTATCCGTTTTGCGCGTTGCTTGCTTCGAGGCGGAAAATTGCAGAAAGTCAAGAGAAACTGGATGTAATTTGACACTTTTTAGACACGTTTGTTCTACTGTTCGGCATCCTACTTGTCTTCAGGTCATGTTCAGTGTAGTGGGCTCCTGTCATCTTGCAATTCATGTTGCAAATCATCTTCTCTATTGTATCCACCTTGAAAGAAGGGGGTGTGAAGGTTGTGGCCATGACCGTGATGATTACAGTGATGATTACAGTGATGATTACAGTGATGATTACAGTGATGATACTCAATCTCTTTGCCTTTTCATGACTCTTCATGCAAATGATGAACCGCAAGACATGAACATGTGCATAGTCCCTTTGGCTGGCAGTGCATGGCACCGGTTCCAGGCAGTTCCAGGCAGCACCGGCACCTGCTTCTCCATCTTCTTCATGGAATCCTCCTCAGCCTCTTCCTCGTCGGCATCTTTCCTTGCAACTCGAGGACGCTGAAAGACGTTTCGCTTGACTGTGCCAGGATGTGCCACGTGCTCCCGAGGAAAAACCGCTTTCACCGACCCCTACCATGGCTTCATATTGCTTCCAAGTCTCTCCTCTTTCTTCGACATCATACCTTTGCAAAGCCGCCATGCCAAACTGCTCAGGCACCCGCACAAAATCATGGAAACAAAAGCAGACTTCAGCTGCACTGTCGGCAAAGTGTTTTGGATTCATATGGCACGCTGTGTTCTGAGGAGTTCTGAGGAGTTCTGAGGTGTTCCGAGGGGTTCTGAGTCTAAGTCGAGGAACTAAAAGGGTTCATGGAACCGATCATGCCAGCAATTCCGCTCATGGCACCCCCCACTCCACCAGGGCATTTTGAAACACCTTGGCAAACAGGTCAAAACGGGTCCAATCACTCAATCACTCTTGAAATATCCAAAATCCAAAATGCTTTACGCCCTAGAGTAACAAGAGCAGCTGAAGATTTTAGACTTGATGGGGACAACCACCTACAAAGCAGGAAGATGATGGAAGATGCAATTTCTTTTAACTTCATTTCACCAAAATTTTTACGGATTCGATCCAGGACCGGTCTTGCCCTCGCTGCTCGCAGGTTTCACATGAGTTTGCTGGTTGTGTTGTCTCTCGGGTGCTGTTGAAAGCCTTGCCTAATGGCCTAATGCTTGCCTCGGGTACCCCAGCGCAGACCAAGAAAAATGGACAAAAATGATGGATCTGATGGATGTGGAATGGGTGTCATTCAAGTTTTGCGTGGCAGTCCTCATGAGGGAACCTCATAAAGGAAAGCATCTGCACCCAGAAAGAAAGAAATAGAAAGAACAAGTTGAATTTTTCAACAAGTTGAACAAGTTCAACAAATGAACAACTTACAAAATACATCGAAATACACCAAAATACATCAAAATACATCAAAAGACATCAAAATACATCAAAATACATCAAAATACATCAAAATACATCAAAATACATCAAAATACATCAAAATACATCAAAATACATCAAACGACATCAAAAGACATCAAAATACATCAAAATACATCAAAATACATCAAAATACATGAAAATACATGAAAATACATGAAAATACATCAAAATACATGAAAATACATGAAAATACATGAAAATACATCAAAATACATCAAAATACATCAACATACATCAACATACATCAAAATACATCAAAATACATCAAGATACATGAAAATACATGAAAATACATGAAAATACATGAAAATACATGAAAATACATGAAAATACATGAAAATACATGAAAATACATGAAAATACATGAAAATACATGAAAATACATGAAAATACATCAAAAACATCATAATACATCAAAATACATCAAAATACATCAAAATACATCAACATACATCAAAATACATCAAAATACATCAACATACATCAAAATACATCAAAATACATCAAAATACATCAAAATACATCAAAAGACATCAAAAGACATCAAAAGACATCAAAATACATCAAAATACATCAAAATACATCAAAATACATCAAAATACATCAAAATCATCAAAATACATCAAAAGACATCAAAATACATCAAAATACATCAAAATACATCAAAATACATCAACATACATCAAAATACATCAAAATACCTTGAAATCGCGATCTCCTTTGGGCAGGACTGGACTTCGAGCTTTCGCCAAGGCACACATCATAAACGCCAGCCCACCACCAGCGGCTGCACCACCTGCCATGGCCAGGCCGCTACTTACCATCGATGTGGGCTCTTCCACCTGACAGCGAAACATCAAACGAAACATAAGCAGAGCCAAACAGAGTCAAACAGAGTCAAGCAGAGTCCAAACCCAACATACCCAAGTCACCCTAAGTGAATTGCTGGGATGCACGCGCAATGTCCACAGTACAGGAAAAACCATCAACATTGGTTCGGCATTGTTTCAGAAACTTTGGCAACTGTTGGGTGTAATCCTGGAGCTGCCGCCTGCGTGGACAGTCCGCCCATTGGTTCAAGGACAGTCCTTGCAATTCAATGGCTTGCCCGGGACACCTCTTTTGTCCAAGCAAGAAACATATAACAAGCAAAGCTATGCCAAAAGTGGGAGGTTGGAAAGGGTGACAAGGTGCTAATATGGATGTTCCGGTTGTAACGTTGTGCATAATGTTCTTCTCATCCAGGACACTTAAATCACTTTCCCAGACACAGTCGACACTATTAGACAACTATCATTGACTATCATGCACAGTCGATCAAGGAACTTGAGCACGGGCATTGCCATTGCCAAAGTAGCCCTTTGGCCTCAGCCAGAAACATGGGCTGTGGGGGAACTTGATTCGCCGATTCGCCACCACTGCACCACAACATCCACAACTACAAGGGGTCTGTGTTAATGAAAACCCCTTCGATGTCACACTGCACCACAACATCCACAACTACAAGGGGTCTGTGTTAATGAAAACCCCTTCGATGTCACAAGCTCTCAGCTGTGACTCAAACTCATCCAACTCGTTAAACTCGTCAAACTGTGAAGCTTGTCAAACTTGTTTCTGATACTGTTCGATGCTGGCCATTAGGATTCTCAAAGCGAGCCTTCTTTGGCCGAACCTCTACCCACCGGCTACATACGGAGGAACTTGTCTTTGAGCCGGCTTTTTTCAGCAATCCGATGGCCATGATGAAAAACCATGAAACGCCAATGGCATGGCATGTGCTGTTTTCTAAGCCAACCTGAAAATTGAAAACCCAACTCTCCACAACCAAGCAACCCTGGCGGACTTGACATTGTCCGTTGTTCATGATTTAATGTTGTTGATCACAAGCATCCCAAGCATCCTAAGACACAAAGAAACAAAACTCCGCCTCGGTGGGTTTGGACCTTTGGCGCCTTTGCCTCGCCCCATTTGCTCAAGCAGAAGACGCATCTCTGCATTATTTCCCACTGGATGAGAGATAACATATCGAAGGACCTGGAGAACAAATATAATTGAGTGTAAAAAGGTTGAACATGAGGATTTTAGCAATGAAAATCGGATGCAAACTTCTAAAAGGAAAAAAATCGCCTTCCAATTTTCGCCAAATGGAATTTTCAGGACGAAATGGAAAAGAAACAAAGTGAACTCAAACCGACTCAAGTGCTGTGCCAGCCTTTGCCTTCCCACTGCCTGATCAGAGCTGTTTCACAGAAACACTTTAGATAAAGGGCCTACAAAGCATGGTTAAATTGTCAACTGCTTCTGGAAAACAAAGAAACTTATGACCACACTGCTCTGAACTTCAACAGAACGGAGTCCCCTTGCCGGACATTCACTATCACACTCGCAAGGAAAACATTATCCCTGTACAAATGGCAGTGAACGTGAAAGAAAAACTGATGGCGAAGAACTCGCCCTACACGCTGCCGGTGAATGGGAACTGTTCAAGCTGGGAGATGCTTCAAGTGCCTACTTCACTTCTCAATACATGTCTTGGGGCAATGATCTTCCCCAAGGTGCGGAGCGCCTCAGGTGCAGAAGTTGAGCTCACTTCAGGAGCCTCCAAAAAGATTGGCCGAACGACGTTTCGAGGTTTCCAGTGCCAAGCTGCAGCTATTGAATTCAGGTGGTTCCAATTTCAGGCTTGACAAGGCTCACCAAAGCAGGACCAGATGGCTGTCTAAAAGATTCAAATTTAAATTGATCAGATTTGATCAGGCTTCTTTCAAACGTCACAAGATGTCACAAGTCAAGGAATGAATCTCCTTTAAGCATTCTATGTCCGGCCAGTGCCTGGGCTGCAGAAGATGGCCTCATGGAGCACGGACCGTCACGGATCGTCACGGACAGCTTTGCTCATCTTTGATTTATTTCAAGGCAAAGGTTGGGTGCGCCTTCAAGTCGACCTCACAAAACTATACAAAACTCCTAAACGCTTTAAGGCTAACTGAGCAAACTAAGCCGTCCGAGTCCACTCTGCTGGCTTTTAGTTTTCGACACGCGTGCTTCGCATCACTTCGTGTGTGTCTGTTTGTCTTTGTCCTACATGCGGGTTGAACTCATGGATTCCACACCGAGACAGCGAAGGGCTGTTGACAAAGTACCTGGGCCGCAGTGCCGTGTTGTGCCGAGTTGTATGTTTATGATCGTTTATAGCATGTTAATTTACAATGTTAATGCATTTTATAGCCTTAGAGAGCCTTTTCTGATCGCTACTACCTTTGCTGACAAATGTTCACATCTGGACGAACCTCGCGGCTTCCAAGGCTCTTTGCGCAGCCACTAGAGCTTGGTTTAGCTCCTGCCCCTCGTCACTCAACTCCTGTCGAACAAAGCACCATGCTGTGTTAAGAACCTGTGTGGCTATCAGTCATATGAGTCATATGAGTCATATGAGTCATAGTCATAGTCAATATTGCAGATTTATGATTTACAAATGAACCTGCTTCTTAGAGGCGAGCAACATTGACCCTGCGTTGTGTGTTGAATCCGTTCGCGGCAGCCTTTCTTTCTGCTTGAACTTCAGTATCCACCTGGAGCGTGTGACAAAGGCTTGGCCCTGAGAACATGCCATTGAGTCATCGCATGTCACTGAGAACTTCTCAGAACACTGCAGCTGCTAATCAGCTGCTAATCAGCTGCTAATCAGCTGCTAATCAGCTTTCAACTTTCAGGGCTTGATCACAATTTTATCACTCTGCTGACTTTGACATCTCTGTCCTCGCAAACTGTAGGCGTGGAACTTTGTGACTTCTGACCTGGCAAAACACCAACGAAACACAAACACAGCCAACACAGCCAGAAAGTAAGTCAAATGTGCTCTGAACATCGAAAAACAGGCGCCTGTGGCAGGCTCCTCCTCCTCACAAGGTCAAGGACTCTAACGGACTCCATTGGACTCTAACCGACTCTAACCCCGAAACTTCAAATTCTTGATTTGTTGGCGGACATATTTTTCTGTGTAGGTCTTAGAAGGGGGCTCCTATGATATGTTCGGATCTATGCAGAATCTGCAGAGTGCAGAATTGCGAATTCTTCGGTATCTTGGCAGCTTGGAATATCTTGGCATCTTCTCCCAGAGCCGAAGCAACCAAAATGGCGGACATCTACTATTAATGGCTATATGGTTAATGATTAATGGTTAATGACCATATTATATGAATGAATCTTAACAAATAATATACAAATAATTCAAACATGTCTAGGAAACTTTTTAACGGCGACTTTGACTGCAACTGTCCTCATCGCTTCCTCCAAAGAAGGTTGATGTGGATGCCTGCATGAAATCATCTTGAACCTCCAGGAACACCGAGTGAACACAGTCAGCGGTTCGATGACGTCTGGTCAAAATTGCTGGACTCACTTGAAGCCAACTGTGCAGCCGCATGGTCTTCCAGAGTCTGCTTTTTCTGAAGCTATTTTGCGGTTTCACATGATGTTGTTGACAAATCTTGACAATCTCATCAGATTCCAAGATTCAAACAGATTCACTTCATATGGATCACTGGCTATCATCAGTGTTGTGCCATGCGGCTTTGCCTCACTACAGCTTGCATCCATTTGGCGTGCGCTGGCAGCTCAAGGAGGACTCTGAAAAAGTGCTTGGCATTCGCTTCGATCTGATTTTTGGAGCTTCGATTCTTCCATTCCTCGAGTCTTCCGTTTGATCTTTGTTTCTTGTTTTGTTTATTTTTGTTTTGTTTCTTTGGATCATTTTGATCTGCGCTCCCATTGAGTGTCCGATGCCAGTTTCTGTCATGGCAGTGATCTGAGGCTCCCTAAATAGCCTAAATAGCTCCGGACTCAGTGGTTCATGGATGTCATGGATGTCATGGATGTCATGGATGTCATGGATGTCATGGATGTCATGGATGTCATGGATGTCATGGATGTCATGGATGTCATGGATGTCATGGATGTCATGGATGTCATGTGTCATGGATGTTCATGGTAACCGGAAAGTACAGATGCCACACCAATGGTTACAAAACGTTTTAAACACAAGAAGCACAAGATGCGGATCAATGCCGTCTGCTGGGCTGTTTCAAAGCTGGCACGTGTCTGCTCAAGTCTGGCATAGGCTGTTGGGCTCTTATTCAAGAGAGCAACCACTAAAGATCTTGTCAATGTGCCCGTACAAAAGCAAACTGTTTTATCACGGAACTTTGATTGTTGCTGAAGCGAAGAAGAAAATGGCAAGACCTAGCTGCAACATCTGCGACACTCTGACCTGCAAAGCTGTTGACATCGGAAACAAAACAGACACATTTAGACAACTTATTGCCTGTGAATCTTGAAAACAAAACAGCTTAGAGTAAGCAATTGGAGTGTCCTAAGGTGTGTCAAATTGCCCCGTGGGCCTTTGTTTACCCTAGTATTTTCCAAAGTTGGGAACTCTGTTCAGCCGATCAAGGGCTCATGGTTTAAAATGGTTTAAAATGGTCCAACTGGTGCTAGAGGGCGTGTTTGATGCCCAGAGGCAGCTGGAGTATCACTTTTACTCTACGCTCCTGAGTTCTTCTGGGTTCTGGAGTTGCGAGAAGGAATAGTGATAATAGTGACTATTGTCAACCATCTAATTGCAGCGCGTATCGTGCTTTCCATGGAACTGGTTATGCTGCGGTGAGTCCCGAGTATGTCCCGTGTGCACGGTGTGTCATGCATCGGTGGATGCGCAGGGACCTGAGGTCGCTGCGCATCTGACCTCTGAATTCTGCCCGGACTGGAGAGCAACGAATGCACAAAATCAAGATATGCCACACCGATGCGTTGCCCAAAGTGACAAAGTCCGGTGTTCGTTGGCTCGGTTTCTTTTCATCTCCAAAGTCCAGGGCCTGTAAGCATGGAGGCTTGGGTCAGAATCTGATGCGCTCCGCAGCAGAAGGATACTGGTCAAAAACATAGAAACAAAGCGTTGCAACCTTCTCAGAAGCTGCTGAAATGTTTGGAGCGCAGATCACTGCCCTTAAAAATCGCACAGCAAAAGCTGATGCTCATTCGCCCATCAGCGTTCTATGCGAAGAGGAGGCCACGTCCCTTGTATTTCGTTTGCTGGCAACACGGTGAGAACATGAAAACGCAAATTCATGTTTAAAAGGAAAGAGGTGCTCTAAAACTTGTTCAAACCTTTTCCGCCTGGATATTCCAATTGGTTTTCCAATTGGTTGCGTGATTTCGTATATGTCCCGTCTCACGTGTCACGGTAGTGTCACCATGTCGCGATATAGGCCCCGCACCCTGAGCTGTTTTGCTTCTTCGTCGGCGGAGACCTGCCATGCAATCTAAACATAAACGAGATTCTAAACGACTAGCGACGGCGATCATATAGTGATCTACTTGCATTTTCCTTTGAGTATCAGTCTACAACGATCTATCTTACTGCGTCCGATACGATGAGCAAACATGAGACAGTCATGATGTTCCTCACTTTGACAGGCTGGGCCACCAGGTGCCACCAGGTGCTATTGCTCTACTCTTTCAGGTCCCATTCAGGTCCCATTCAGGTCCCATTCAGGTCCCATTCAGGTCCCATGAGTGGCTCGAGTAGCGACCGACGCCTGAGGCGGAGTGTGTGCAGCCAGCCCGAAGCCGATCTGTTTTTCTTTCCAGTCGTAGACTGTGTAGTACTTTCCTGGCCAGGCTCGTGTTGCTCAAATTCTCTCAAGATTTAGATTTGG